CAGCCACTCAGTGACCGAGGCGAGCCTGACTCGCCTTCTCCATTGGTTGTTCCTCTTGTCAGTCAGCACGAGGGCCCGCCTCCCGGGTACTTAGTCCCAGCGGCGTGAAGGAGGCGGGAGTGGTTGTTTTCTGTGCCGGGTGAGCAGGCACGCTCTCGCGTGGAGCCCGGGTTCTCCCCGCAGCCTCCAACCGGGAACGGCCGAGCCCAGGTCACCTCGCTCCCTTTAGCGTCGGGGAGTGTGTGCCTAGGCTGGCGCGGGTCGCTTTCTGGAGCCGGGAGGTGGCAGCGGCGAGACGCGGCGCTGCTCGGAGGAAGCGGTTTTAGGGGGCTGGACGTTGCTAGGGCAGCGGGAAGAGGCGGCACCAGAGCTGGGGCACAGGGTAGGAAGGAGGAGCTGTTGTGCGAGAAGGTATTGGAAAAACCCGAGAAGTTGGGGTTGAAATGAAGTGCTGCTGCTTTAAATGGAAAACAAAGGACTTGCAGCAGCTACGCTTGAAACAAAACCAGTTAATGTAGGCAACTCCTACTGCACGTTTATATGCACATAAAATACATAGTCTGGGCTGGAATAAGGGACTTTACGTGCTACTGTAGTTAGTGTGATATGATAATTGTGTACGGTAATATACAATGCTGTGTTATTTATTTTTTCCATGTATGAATGATCTAGTCAGACTTCTTTGTACGTTTTGGTCTATGTTTAGCCTCAGGATTCAGGCATGCTTGTCTTGCTCGTCTGTTTTTTCTGGCTGCAGTCTGTTTTCAGCTTCTGAAATAACTCTGTTTTTGTCTTGTTCTGTCTTTATTTTTGTAAGTACTGGGTTTTTTTGTAAGATCCTATTGACTGAAAGTTACTAGTTTCCTTGACTATTGGTGCATTTGACACCTGAGTACAACTGAAATTAAAGGTGGCCTGTTTTTAATTTCTCAGGGCTAATTCCCTACCTTGATTTCTTTCTCTCCCTCTGTTTTGTGTGATGTTGAAACTGCTGCACAAAGCCCATGGCTGTGTCTGGCACTGATTATAAGCTCAGTGAAGGAGGTTTAAAACTACATCGAATTTGAACCACAGTTTACTGTGAGGTTTTGTCCCCTCCAAGACTGCGGGCAGAGTGATCTGTTGAAGTCACAGCCACATCTACCATGAAGAAATTAGTCATGTAAGACGATTAAAAATAGTCACTTTAAACAGCTTTTAAATATGAAATGAGTTTTATGTCAATTCAGTGGGAATTAAAAAAGCTTGTGTTCTGCCTTTGCAAAAACTGAAATCTTTTGTGAAGTACAAGTAATAACGAGAGAAGAGGAATAATTTGAGAGACCCCTATATGGTTAATGTTACTTAAAACTTCAAGTTAATTCATTGCTATGGTACATCATTATTTTACTGCCAAAACACGTTGAATGACGGGTTGCAATCAATATGCTTCTGAAAAGTTATCTTTACACTCCAGTTTTATTTCACATTTGTGTCTCGCTTGTATCATTGCACTAAGCGGTGGCTGTTTAAGAGCTTTTGTCTAGTACTTGGATGAGATTCAGCTTCTGGGTTTTTTATCTTTTGAGAAAAAGGAAATTTTAAAAAGGCATCAACAGAACTCCTCAAACTGTCTGTAGACTGAATGTAGTGCTGGGGCACAGCCTCCCTGAGGACACTAAAAACCCTCTAGGACTCCTTGTCATGCCATTGAGACAGAGGTAATTTTTGACCCCCCGAGAGTGTCCTTGATCGGTGATGAGCAAGACTGTCCACAGCTCTCTGCTGACTGCTGTGCCCAGAGAGTCAAATTCTCCTATTTTTTGCTTTATAGATAAATAATATTTCATCAAAATTTTGATGAAGTTGTCAACTTCTTCCCACCAGAAGAAGGTCACAAGACTATAAACTTAGCTGTTTGTTTTCGAAGGGGAAATGGTATAAATAACGCCTCTGTAAGTCAGGTGGGTGGTGGGACAAAACTGTCCTTCTGTAGGTGTTTGGTGGAATTCAGTTTGTTTCAGACAGCAGGCACCCTGATCCTGTAGTAATCTGTTATTTTTAAATGATATATTAGGGCAGTTAGCAACTCATCAGCATTGCACTGCAGTCTACAACATCTCAGTTCACTTTTTTTTAACATCCTCTTTTAGATCTGTTGCCATGTTGTGTTCAAAAACCACACACTTTTCCAGTTGGATCACTTCTGTTTTTTAAAAGGAGAAAATGAGGAACTAAATCATGTGTGTGTATGATGGGGTTTTTTTTCCAGACAGACAGCAGTGAAGAATGAGTATGTGAGAATCCGTTTTCTTACAGCAGATGTAGTAGGAGCTGGGCTATGTGATTACCCACCTCTCTTACCCAACTACAATTGGTAAGTATGGGCTTTTTGTTCCTTTTTTTCCCTTATATTTTGTTTGAGAATACAGGCACAATTTACTTTACTTGAAAGAGAGCAGTTTTGCTAACATTCCCATATTTTAGCTTTACATTAACACTATGAGCACTTTCAAAGCAATACAGCAAAATTTTTTAGCATGTAAGGATCTGGGTGCCTGTGTTTTTCAGAAGGAATGGAGATGTAGTGTTCCCCTTCCCATTGACTGTTCAGCAAGGAGGAAAGTAGAAAACTTCCATCTCCCAAGTAATTGGAGTTTTAGAGTAGCTTTCTAGAAGGGTTACTGGGATTAAAAGAAAAGTGGCCCGGGGTGCCAAGTTTCACTGCAGAACAAGTAAGCCAGAGTGGATGGTTTGGTTGCTGATAAAAGCAAATCAATAGAGTGAGGAGGATCTTTCTCCTAATATATCAAATATGTTAAATTTGCAGAAGTTTTGTTTGTGTGGAGAGTTATCTAGTGACTTCTGTGGTGTTATTACTGATGTAAATTGGCAGCACTGTGAAAAGTATTGAGCTTTAATTGTCCATTATGTAAGTAGAGTTTTTGGTGGTGTATTTCAAACAGTGTGCCAGTATGTCATGTCCTCTGGGAGCTTTCTGTGTACTCTTCAGTAAAACTGCCCCATCCCTTGCCTCTGCCCACTATTTAAAACCATGAGCACATTAAAGGTGTGTGAAGGTACTTGAAATATGCAGACATTAAAAAGACATTTGATGCACAGAGGGATTTTCTTGTGTTAATCTTTCCCATTCCTATGTAAAAGGAGTGGTGATGATGTGCTCATAAGTGAATTTAGGTCAGACTCTGCTCTAAATTGAAAGGTTCCTTTTGGTTTTAATGGTAGGTGAATTCATTATTTTGAGACATGCTTTTAATTATTCTTGTGCAGTTAGTAAAACTGTGAAGCCTATAGATACACTAACATACTACTCATTGCTTCAGTATTGGAGAAGACAAATTAACTATATCTTTAAAAAAATCATAATTGAGGGACTCTAAAAACATTTGCATATGTGAACTGCATTTTGGATGCAGTTTTTATTATAGCTGCAAAACTATCAGCATCTTTTGAAGGGTCCTTGGCACCACACAGGAGGGCTTAGGCCAATTCAGAATCAACCACTTAAGTCTGAATTTTATCTTGGTTTCCTTCCTGTGTCACCTTTTTAGTTCTTAGAAATTGTTGTCTTTCAACGGAAAAAGTTGATTTGCAACTGATGGTATAAAAAATCATAATTGAGGGCCTCTAAAAACATTTGCATATGTGAACTGCATTTTGGATGCAGTTTTTATTATAGCTGCAAAACTATCAGCATCTTTTGAAGGGTCCTTGGCACCACACAGGAGGGCTTAGGCCAATTCAGAATCAACCACTTAAGTCTGAATTTTATCTTGGTTTCCTTCCTGTGTCACCTTTTTAGTTCTTAGAAAATGTTGTCTTTCAACGGAAAATTGATTTGCAGCTGATGGTAATAACATAGACAAGTAAAATCTGATTTTTACAGCTCAAGTATGATCTGTCTCAACTAACCAGAAGAGGAGGTACCTAGGAACAGAAGTGATATTACAGATAAGGATCCCAATTAATGCCCTTCCTATATCTTCAGAATGATTTTTGTTGACATACTGTAGAGGTTAAAATTGTAGGAAAAGGATGCAGTTTGTTTACTAAAAATAAAGAAAAATCAGTCTATAAAGTGCATTGTTTATTTTTATTATTATTAACCTTTTTTCAAACAAGTTTGAGGTACTCTGCCTGTCTTTCTTTCACTCACAGGACTCCATGGACCTCTGGTGATTGCCATTACTCCCACTTGTCATCATGTTGGCAGAAGGCATCTTAACTAGGCTCATATATAAGGAAAGCTGTCATCAAGATAAGCCTCAGAAATTGCATGCATCCAAAAAGGATAAAGAGGGAATCTGGAGACACAAACTTGTAGACAACCCAAAAATTAAAAGCTTTGCTGATGCACATGAGAAGCAGGCTGAGATCTCTGCTAGAAGTAGCAAAGTGGAATACAGGAGTGGTCCTCAAAGGAGATCCTTGAAAGAGGTACCTGCAAAAGATCAGAAAACACTTGGTAAAGGCGCTGTATCACCAGCTTTATATATCCCCAGAAGAAAACAAAATATTGAACAGATGGATTTATATAGATCCTGGTCATGCAACAGAATTTATCAAAACTATCCTGACTTACACATTGGGGGAGATCACGTTGGGGACCACACATGCGATTCTGGTTGTGTTTTGGACCATGTGTGTGATGAACCTTCTGATGGCCCTGTTTTACTGTCCATAGATATTCCTCTAGGCCAGTCTCCTCTATGTGAGCATCCCAAAAAGCCAAGTATGAAGTCCTTGTCTGGAGATGAAGCTGCAGAATGGAGTTTCATGATCTGTGAGGAGCCTCTTTCAAACTCTGTGCTCAACAAGTACATGGAAACAAAAGTGGCAGAGTTCTATAAACAGTTTTTTGAAGAGAACTTGACCAGGTGTGGTTCTATAACAAACCTCCTTGCTTGCAGTGTGATGAGGAATAACCTGAATCAGATAAGCTTTCAGATATCTCAGGAGCAGAACATAGAAATATCAAAAGCCAGAGAAGTGCTCTTGCGTTCTTTTGCTTTGTTTAGTTTGTGCAATACCAATAGAAGTAGCTCTGAATTTAGTACTCCAAACTTACAAATCTCAAACCCAGAATGACTGATCTACTTGGCTGAAGAGATGAATGTGATTTGCATATGAATATTCCACTCTAAGGATCGGTAATGAAAACACACACTACAGACTTTTTCAAGTATTTTAATGCTTAAACCATAGTTCTACTGCAGAGGAAGCGAAGGTCACTTTTTTTTTAATACAGAATCTGAAATTAATTAAAGTCAACCATGTATTTATAATGTGTATGTCTTCCTTCTAAGACTCTGGCTGTGTGTGTTAACTGTGCTCATGTCCCATCGGATTTACTCCTGCAAGAAAAGTAAATCAAGATGTGTGCTGGTGAAACCTTAATTCTAAGAGTCTGATCCACCCAGCCCATAATAAAAGAGTCAAGTTATCTTTGGTAGACCTTGGGTTGGGCCATATGGTTGAAACCCAAGTTTTGGACATTTGGGTTCAAATTTTACTCCTGCAAACGTTAATCACAGTGGCTGAGAAAATATTCCTGTGGTTTGAAAATCTTGTCAGCAGATGGAGATGTTCAGGACTCTGGAGTATTTTGTATATATTATAGTACATAGGGAATGTATTGACATAAAACATGAATCAAGACACTGGTACTGTTGCATGAGTGTGTTTACTGTATAGGTGGAGTACGTTACAGTGAAAATCTAAGTGAAATAGTTGATCATGTCTGTGGAAGTATTTCATTTTCTGTAAAAAAAAAAAAAAATTCTTATAAATAAATACTACTTCCATTAGATCCACTCAGCTTTCTGTCAGTGTGTTATTTTATGCTCCATTTGCATTTTTAGTAAGTGGACTCTGCCTTTATTTCCTTGGAAGTGAAGCACCTGCAACCTCAGCCAGCTAAGATGACTGCAATGCTCCTGGAAAAGTAGTGCAAGGTTTCCTCATCTTTGTTTGGAAGTTTAAATGCAGATTTTGATACGGAAATGTTGCTACTTAGCTTTCAAATAATTTTTATTCCTTTTCCGATACTTGTCTGTGAGTATTTCAACTGGAATTTAATCACTGTGTCACCACTGTAAAATGATAAATGAATTCTTGTTACGTGATCTGCAGAGATTTTCTCCTAGCAAGGAATCCTCTTTACTTGCACTGTGACTGAGTATGGCGAGGCACACCTGCAGTTCTGAGTTTGCTATCATGAAATCCAAAATCTGGCAACAAACTCTATTTATACAATTACAAGGTTCTAAAATTCCTGTTAATGTGCTAGTTTAATAACTTTATCCAGTTTCTGATGCCACTCAATGCATAGGGATGGGATGGGTTTATAAAGCAGAGCTTCTCAGTGAAAATTGCTATTGAGTGGCTACTGTAACCCAAAACCACCTTTGTCTTTGAGACATCTCTCAAACTCTGGGGCATAATATACAATTTTTAAGTCCTTGTCAACCCTCTATGAAGGATCTTGTGATCTCTAGGTAATAATATGTCAAATGCAAACATATTTGTGTTTGTAAATCAAGGCCCCTTGATCAGTGCTTTGAACAGAGCAGAGTTGTTTGTTGGGTTTTTCTGGTGTTTTTTTGTGGTTTTGTTGGGTTTTTTTGTAATCCAACATCTTTAGTTGATGGGCTTTTTAAAAAAACATCTCTGAGCTGCAGTTTGTAGTGAAAATATCAGTAGGCTTAAAAGAATGCCCCGGATCATCGAGAAGATCTGAATTCACAAGGGATTCATCTTGAAGTTCTTAATTCAGGTAATTTCGCTTGCTAGTTAGTTGCATTTACTGTTTGTAATAGATGTAAGATGGGGCTTAGGGTTAGAATTGTACCTATTTTGGCCTATACAGAGAAGAAAATTT